AATAACCAATGGCTCTGACTCCGATGGTAATGGAAAATCAAAAAGAATATCAACTAGAGGGTAGACACATGATTGGAAGAAAAATAAGGAATATGCTCAAAAAATGTAACATCTAGACTGTTATACTTACGACGCCTAATAGGATCATAACATTGATACCTCTTAGACTGATGACAATAGTCCACAAAGACACAACGAATCGCTTTATCATCAAGCTTATGATGAATAGGAGACTAATCTTAAACAAAACATGTGCATCCAAAAATACGAGGAGGGATCGAAAAAAGTGTCCGCTCAAAAAATAAAACCTATAAGGGAGCCCTATGCTGAAGAACACGACTCAGTGTACGATTACACAGAAAGGTAGAAGTCAAAATAACAAAATATCAATACGATTTTGGTACCCCTATACCTCTAAGCACACAACGTATTATCCCTATCAGACTCCTATTTTTCCTTTCAGCAACGCTATTTTGCTCAAGAGTATATGGACAAGTGAGTTGCTAAAAAATACCCTGAGAAGAAAGGTGAGACATTAAGGCATTAGACACATATTTTTTGGTATTATTCGAACGAAGAGCACAAACAATGACATCGAATTATGTCTTAATCATCTGTAGAAACTGAGTAATTATAAGGAGTACATCAGACTTCCTATGCAAAATATAGACCCAAGTACAACAGGTATGGTCATCTATAAATGTCATATAGTATTGAGCACCTGACAAAGCAGTAACAAGAGAAGTTCCCCAAATATCAGTGTATTAGGTCAAATGGCTTGGGTGACTGGTGCATACGAGAAATATAACTGGTCTTAACATGTTTCGATAGAGAACATATCACACATTCAAGTTTACCACTAATACAGGCATTGCTCAAAGTAAGAGACAACATTCATAAATATTTAAAATTTGTATGTCCAAAACGGTCATACCACAACTGAACAGTTTGTGACGAAAAATCATAACGATAACTACTAGGTAGAACACCAGCATGCAAGTTAGGAACAGATAAAGACAACGTAGATGCAGGTGATGTAGGTGGAGGAACTGGTAAAACTGGAGGTGGATTGCCTAAATAATACAATCCATCTTTCTCATGTCCCCTAATAATAATCCTCCTGGTACTCAGGTCCTGCAAATAACACGAATCAGATAAGAACACAATTGCATACTGAAAATCTATAGCTAACTGATGTGTAAATAATAGATTCATGACCAACTTTGGCGCATGAAAGACTGAATGTAATGTAAGGTCATTTGGGAAGTGGACTGTACCCCTACTAACAATAGGGGCATCTGTCCCATCTGATAACTAAACTTGTATATGTAACTGCTCATCAAAAGTGGTAAAATGATGGGTCTCACCAGTCATGTGACCATTCGCATCCGAGTCCAACATCCAAAGGGGAGACGGACTGGTACAAGCATGAAAGGCACGAGGTATACTTGTAGTGGTGGCAACAGTAGTAATCAGACTCTGAGAAGCCAGAATGGACATAAGTATATCCAATCGGGAAGTGATAACATGCACATCATTCTGCCAAGGAGGAGCAGTAGTAGGAGTAGCGATAGTAGGTAGTGGTACCTAAGCAATAACAGCAACACGGCCGCGAGGAGGTGGCTTAAGCTCTGAATGGAGCTTCCAGCAAGTAGCCCTGAGATGTCCTCGTCGGCCACAATAATCACACTGACGAGAATCCCCCTGTCTGCGCTGATCTGGGGCACCCTGATGCCGTTGGTCTGAGCGCTACCCACCCTTGACTGAGGATCTTGAGCGAGACCCTGTAGTAGTTGCAAGGGTCATATGATCAGCTGGAAGAGTCAAGACTGGAACTGGAAGTGATGCAATGCGGACACGACGCTCATGCTGCTCAATCATCGCATACACCTCATAAAGAGAAGGAAGCATCAACATCGATAGAATCTAAAAACGAGGTCCCTCAAACTCATTACGAAGTCCTATAAGGAACTCGTGAATCCTATTCTCCTGCTCGCAAGTATGCAAGAATCTTGCTCCCTAGGGCTCTATCCTCGAAATAGCAGTAAGAGGATGTAGAGTTTCATACTCAAGTCAGCACTAGGTCAAATAACCATAATAATCCTAAACAGTCATATCTCCCTACTAAGTATATGAGAGCTCCTAAGAAAACTCATAAACATGTACTTCCCGTCCTGACTGGGAATACATCTCTAATAATGCGCTCCATAACTTCGGAACAGAGCTATGAAACTGGTGAATCCGACAAACAAATGGCTCCATCGAACCAAATAACCATCCAATAATGACGCAGTTTTTAGAGAACCATGCAAAATATCCAAGGTCAGCATCATCTAACTTTGGATGAGATCCTGTCAGCTAACCAAGCTTCTCTACACGACCTATTAAAAGTTAGAATGAGTGAGACCACTCAGCGAAGTTACGGCTATTGAACACTGTGCCGTAACTTTTTGACAGATCATGCTCGACAGTGCTGGTAATGCAACTGTGCCAGTAGGTACTACATACTGGTCAAACATAAAAGGAGAAAGACCAATAAATGTCTCAACGGTAAAGGTGTTAGCAGTAGGGGTTTCAAGTCCCTCAATAGTAGTCATATAAACAACAATCCTAGGGCACCCGTGACAAAAAAATAACTCTAACATAAATAGAGGGATAACATAAAGGAGAATAATATATCTTTAGTCGAACAGCAGCGACATATACAGAAGGTCTAGAAAGATCCCAAAGAATCAAGTTACGGTGCCTAGAAATTCAATAAAGATAAATAAATGATCTACTGCATCAAGAGCATATCAACAAAGAAGAGTACTCAAACCCTCGCAAAAAGTCCTTCGATCCAAATAATCAGATGCATGAAGGCAAGACACAATGTTGTGATGAATAGTGCGACCTAGCAGTGGACAGTGGGACTGGGTATGAACTGAGTTCGTCTATGGGCAGTTGGACTGGGTTCGTTTGTCGGTGGAGGTGTTTTGGATTTGGGTTTAAGGTAATTTGGGTTTGGATTTGGGTTTAAGGTAATTTGGGTTTGGATTTGGGTTTAAGGTAATTTGGGTTTGGATTTTGGTGGGCAGAGGGTGCTTTATTTATTGAGGGAAGGAAACAGAGGCAGTTGGTCCTGGGTATAGCAACAGAGACAGTCGGTGCTGGGTTTGTGGGCTGTTGGTAGGTATATGGCAGTCGATCGATGCTGGGGCTTGCTTACTGGGTGGCAGTCGGTGGGTATGTATGTGGGTATGTTCTTGGAGTTAGCTTTGTGGGTATATGACAGTCGGTCGGTGATGGGTATAGCAGCAGAGGCAGTCGACTTTGTGGTTTTGGCATGTGGGTATATGGTTTTGTCACCGGCAGTGGCTGGCTTCCTTTTTTTTTTCTTCGGCGGAGAGACTGTCGACGGTGGCAGCAGGAAAGGTTGCGAATGCTAGGGTTAAAGTTAGAATTAAAGTTAGAGATTTAGGTTAAGCTCTGATACCTAAAAAGAATACAAATTAAGCATAGAGCCTCGTATATATAACTAATGAATGTTACAATAAAGATAAAAAGGTAAAAAAGAAAAAAATTCAATAAACACTAATAAATTAAGTCGTTATATCTCCAACATGAACCAAGATTAATCGTTGAGCTGAGACTCTTGCTCAAACTTGGCTTAGCACCAGCTTGCAAGCATTCAATTTGAAATCGAGCTCAACTTTAACGTTTTTATTTTTAAAAAATCCATTAGACCAGGGAGGGAGAGAATACATATAGTTTGGAGCTATGTAAAGATAGGGTTAGCATTATTTATCTTTCAAAAAAATTTTGTGTGGTAGTAATTAAAGTATTGATAAATGAAAGCATATTTAACCCAAACCGAACTCTAGCTACTCAAAACAGCTCTATTCTTAAGGATTGCAAGTTTTTAACATTTGTAGCTATATTATTATGCAAGAAATGAAAGCTGAGGAATATATGCGTATTCACCAGTATCAGATTTCAATTAGATGAGATCTTAGAAGATGCTAATGCTGCTTTTACCGAATCCAAAAAAAAATAAAAAAAGTGAAAGAAGCTGCTTTTATCGATTCCAAAAATTATGCCAATGTTGTTTTGTTTAGGACATTCCTCCTGTGTTATAGACTTAAGATTTTGGCTTAAGTTTCTATTTGGCGCGGATCAGGTTTTCAAGCAAGCAGTTGACAATGTGGTCCAAAGTCATGGTATCGGCCTTCAACTAGGTCGATGAGACGCATCTGTCGTTGCTTCGCTGAACAATATTCGTTTCCTTCTGTTTCAATGCCAAACAACAAAAACAAGAAAAAACAACAAAAATGTTCACAGGGTGCAACATCACTGTGGTGGTTCCAGTTCTTGTCAGCTTACACTACGTGTTTTTGCTTTGACATTGCAGGACACTTTTCGTCCAATAAGTTTGGCATCTCTGTGGACAGTGAATATAACATGCTGAATGGAGACATTTTAATAGCAGGTTTACACACCAGTTTAAAATATTAAACCTATGCATGAATCCAAAATCGGATCCTTCTGATTCTATAAATCCATACATAACTTATGGTGTTTCATCAGTGTTATGTAATTTTCAGTGCCCAAGTTTTGTAATTTGACATAGAACATCACAACATTTGTCGAGCTAACATTTTATCAAATGAGGTTTAGCTCCTCTATGGGGATATTCGTAATCTAAAATCAATACGTTGAGATAAGGCGAATACGTTCTTAATGGTTGTTAATTAGTACAATTTAAAAAGAATCAATCAATTTTGTATAGCCGAGGTAACTGCTAGTCTGCTATTTTATATGCATATCTCTCTGAGATATCGAAATCCAGTAAATCAAAGCAAAATGATACTGAAACTACACAAAACTTGGAGAAATGAGAGAGACAGGAAAAAAGAAAAAAACCAAAGCCACTGGCATTAAGTGTTGCTGACCTTCTGACCCAATTTGCAGTGGCTTAATCTACTGAAAGCATTAGCGGTCTATCGTTCAATGATCCATCATCATCTGCTTGATATTCCACCCCCCTCTGTTTTTTGTATGCCATAATCCTTGCTCTGAATTTCCTTTAGAACCTCCAAAACCTCTTTCATAGAAGGCCTCATTCCCCTCCCATTTTTGAGACATTGAAATGCCAGCTCTGCTATGTCAGTTATAAGTTCCCTAACCTTGCAGTCCGATTCAAACCCAAGACTTGGATCCACAAGCTCATGCAATGCATTTTTTTGAATTTTGTTGATAGCCATGTTGGACAAGGTGATTTCATGCCGATGCCTTGTGATATCTAGAGAAGGTTTGGATGAAATAAGCTCAATTAAGACTACCCCAAAACTATAAACATCACTCTTATCGGTAAGCTGGTAGCACTGGTGATACTCAGGGTCTACATATCCAGGAGTTCCTTGTGGAGCAGTCGAGACATGACTAACATCAGTCGGGAACAGACGTGACAGCCCAAAATCTGCTACTTTGACACTGAAATTGTTGTCTAAGAGTATATTGTTTGTTTTGACATCTCGGTGGATAACATCCGAAGCATGGAGGTATGCCAATACACTTGCAGTTTCTATGGCAATACTCATTCGCGTAGTCCATGTAGGCAACCCTGATTTTGCTCGTTCACCATGAAGATGATCATATGTTGCATACAAGTGAAAATGGACTCAACCTCAATGGTTGTTTCCACTTGCCTTGGTATACTGTCCCAAAGCCCCCATCCCCAATTTCTTGTTTGGAATCAAAGAAGTTAGTGGCTTCTTCTAGTTCACTATAGGTGAAAATATGAACCCCAAAGTAGGTACCAGCCTTTTCAAGATCTGTCACTGAAGTGGGATAAGATGACACGTCTTGAGAGATGAAAGACGAAGCAGCATAACATTTTCTGTGTCGACGGTGATAGAAAAAGAAAATCAGGAAGATAACAAGGGCGCTGACTGTAGCTGCACTTAAGGCTGCAAAATAGTAGAGAAAGATTGCTAGAAGTTTTTGCAATTGTTACCAGGTGGAATTGTATTGAATCAACAAAAACAAGGAGATACAAGAAAAGATATCTGAATTGAGGAGCATACTACCTATGCCAATCTTCAGTCCCAAATTTAATCTACGGCCTGCAGTAACAATCATCAATTTGATTGTCAGTTTTCGCATCAAAATGAATTAGTCACTCCAATGACAGGCTTTTTATGAAGAGGATCATCTTCATATATGAAAATCGTCAAACTTGGTCATTAAATTTACAACTACTTGATCTAATCCTTATCCAAGTTATCAATGTATAGCTCTTTTTTTTTCAACTGACCCATGTATAGCTCTGAAATAACAAGAACTGACATTTCATTTGAAAGCAGGATAAATTTAAGGAAGATTATAAAAAAAAACTAAAACTAGTAGTTATGATGGGGAATAACTATGAACATCTTTTCTTACTGTTTTGAAAGATTTTGCATTAATCTTAAATCTGTCCAGGCGATAGACCTAAGTCTCGTCATATCAAGCAGTACTTGGATGAACAATAAAATAAGGCTTTCTTATGGAACTTGCTGTAATCTAGTAAAAGGCAAGAAAAAAAAGAAAGGCAATCCTTCCCTGCCAATAGCACTCTGTTTTCTTCAAAAGTTGTTTTTCAAGGAAAGACTTCATTTGACTAAATAGTTGAAGATGCCAGGATAAAATGGTTAACTTTAGCGTTATGCATATCACGTGCAATAAGTTTAGAGAACGTTAGAACAAACATGAAAGTATAGAAAATCAATAGAGTTTTTAGAAAAAAGCATTAATGTTGGTCAAATTTACCATCTTTACAGGTTCTGTGATGGAGATGATCATCACAAAAACAGACGAATTCATAATTATAAGAACCACAACTCCCACCACTACTCTGGCACTTGCTACAAGCAAGTGCATCCCATTGCAAAACAAATCCCTTCTTCAATATACCAGTGAAATTCATTTCCAAAAGTCTATTGAGATCATCGGCTTCCACAACCACATTAACCAAAGATTGGCATGACTCTGCTGAATAATTCCAATGCTTTAAAAGTTCGGTATGGAAAATCGCAAAAGAATGATGGCTACTAGTGCTGGCACAATCGACTTCATATGTCTCTTTGTCGTAAGGCAAGGTGCAATTGTAGAAGAAGAACAGATCCGTGGTGTAAGGACCATATCTAAATGGTGTCCTGACTGTGCTAAAATTATGCATAGGAGTCGGACATTTATTATTTCCATCATAGACCTCAGATTTTACTAGCAGAAGTTAATTGTTGGAGTAAAATATATCTTCTGACATAATCCTCATCGGAAATTATGATGGCTGGATAATTGTCATTACAGGTGACTTTGAATCCTGGTGAGCCACAGTAGGATTCTTGTTGGGAAGGAATCCAAAAAGGGTAGATTATATTCAGTCCATACCCACAGTTTTGAGGCGCACAAGCACGGAATTTCGAGTCCTTAGATAGAGCACCCACCATAGAAGTTGTTGGTTTTTTTTTTTATGGAGTCTAGTTTATATATGTGATCCAGATGATGACCCGACCTGAAGTAATGTTGTGTGGTTTTTTAATGGACTAAATTTTCTGCCTCGTAGGGGTTCGGGGGCAACGCCCCCGAGGAAAATGTTTTGGGCCCGTTATACAGCCCAGTGCGTAGGACATATAAACCCTGTTGTTTTGGTGATTAGGGTTAATCGTAGATTGTACAGCCGCTCTCTGTATTCAACTCTCTCAATAGTGAAATCCCTGCAGCTTCGTGGACGTAGGCAAATTGTCGAACCACGTAAAATCCGTGTCTTGTTCTTTCTTGTTTCTTATTGCTTTATATTCTTGATTTGTTCTTCGATTGTGTGTGTTTGTTAGTGGATTTAAATCGTGTTAAATCCCAACAGAAGTGATGAAGAAGATGAAAATGATAAGATCAATATGGTAAGATGTTTTGAATACGAAGAGCCTTTGGAGAAACATTTGGGGTGGTAGGAAAGAAGAATGCAGAAGAAAATTGGAGAGGAGAAGATAGATGTGGGTTTAGAAAGAAGCAATAGGTGAAAACCTCTACGCAATTGGTTTAACTTGGTAGTTTTGGAGACTATCTATGTATACCTGCCGCTACTAATAGAAGGAGATATACATTTGTTTTGTTTTGTTTAATAATTGGAGGTTTGAAAGACAAACTTTGATTCAATATTTCAAACTATAGCAAGACAAATCTCCTAGAGTGAAAAACCTAAACTAATAGCAACTAGGCATATCATTTGACTTGTATTCAATCAGATCATGGGATACTATATGCCAATTGCTGGCCAAACTTTGTTTGAAGGCTTTTGGAGGTCTCAATTCTCTAGCTATATGACAATTGCAAGCCGTATATGATTTGTCCGCCTTGGTTATGCTTTTAGACCTATAAATGCTCATTAAGTCAACAATATTAAATTTCTTGTTTCCATTAATGTTAAAGCATCTCCCCTATCACGTACGGTATCAAACAACAACATCAATCTAATTCCAACAAATTCACAAACTACATCATATCCATACTACCCCTCATCAAGTAATCAATCTCACATGGATCCGTGTCTTTCGAACCTCTCGAGAACACCACAGTGCTAGCATACCACTGCACGCCCAGTGATTAGACATCGACGCCCCTGTCTCCAATAGTGCGCCACATTCCACAATATACAATACACAGTACAAAACATTATTCAATCATATAAACACGTAGCACATAATCTTGGAGAATTGCTAGTAAATTTTATCATTTACTATCATCTTATAATAGCATTTTCAAAATATATAAAGATATACACCAACTTCAAATGTACAAATCTACGATTGTTCGGTCCTATCGGTGGATCCTTTCAGTGTTACCGTATCTGTTCCAACACCGACTGTCTCACCCGTTCCACAACAAGCTTTGTGTACAGACCAACTCTATTCACGGTTGTCTTTCTTTTTCTTATTTCGGGTCTTCTTCCCTCCAGTTACTCTCCCTCACTCTTGGTTTCTAGCTAGCAAGAACACACGCACACACACTATTTTTTTTTTCTAACACACACACGCACACCTTTTTACACTTGAATTACACACACACACCCCTACACCCTAAAACACACACACCTACACATACGGCATGCATACACACATACATGGCACACTTATATAACCCACCCTTTTTCATGCCAACACCTATAAAGGTGACCCATGTTAATGGGCCAATTTTGCTTACCTCCCCTCAAGTTTTTAAATGATTTTGAAATTGATCCACTAGTATTTTCACACATAAAATTTCTATGAATGGGTCTCACTAGTACATTAATAACGGGGTCCACCTATCCAATGCATGCTCACACACATCATAACTATGGAAGATTTAAGTTAATTATATAATTTCACATAATTACAATTTAGCCCACAAAATTAAGTTAATATGCATGCAATGCGTGATTGAGTCTCACAACTCTCCCCCACAAATAAAAATTTTGTCCTCAAAATTACTTACCTGCACCAAACAAATGAGGATATTGAGCCCGTATACTCTCCTTAGTCTCCCAGGTTGCTTCCTCTGCTGAGTGACTATGTCACAAAACCTTTACCAACGGTATCGTCTTCGTGCGTAATATTTTCTCCTTCCTACCCAAAATCTAAACCGGTTGCTCTACATAAGTGAAATCCTTGGCTAATTCCATAAGTTCTGAAGTCAACACATGTGATAGGTCAAACAAATACTTCTGTAGCATAGACACATGGAATACATCATGCAACTTGGACAACTCTACTGATAGCTTTTTTATGTTTCGAATCAAACCTTACTGAAGTTCCTTCAAATACTTGGTGGATTGATTCTGGTGCTATTGTTCATGTTTCAAATACGATGCAAGGATTCCTTACAACCCAGACCATAAATCAAAATGACAAATTCATATTCATGGGTAACTGGGTCAAAGCTCCAATTGAAGCTATTGGGACTTTTCGTTTATTTCTAGAACTAGTCATANGAAATTTATATTCATGGGTAACCGAGTCAAAGCTCCAGTTGAAGCTATTGGGACTTTTCGTTTATTTCTAGAAATTGGTCATCATTTGGATTTATTTCAGACACTTTATGTTCCTTCTATTTCTCAAAATTTAGTTTCTTTGTCTAGACTTGATGTTGATGGATATTCTTTTAAATTTGGTAATAAAAGTGTTAGTTTGTTTAAGACTACCTCTTTCATTGGTTCTGGTATTCTGCATGATGGTTTGCACAAATTGAAACTTGATGACTTATTTGTTGAGTCTCTTCTAACCCTGCATCATAATGTTGGAATCAAACGTAGCTTGATGAATGAAAATTCTTCCAACTTGTGGCACAAACGACTGGGTCATATATCTAGAGAAGGGTTAGAAAGATTGGTGATGAATGGGATTCTTCCAAATCTAGATTTCACTGATCTCGGAGTGTGTGTGGATTGTATTAAGGGAAAACAAACCAAACACACCAAGAAAGGTGCCACAAGAAGTAATGAACTCCTTGAAATTATCCATACAGACATATGTGGACCTTTTGACACTCCATCGATTGGTGGAGAAAAATATTTTATTACCTTCATAGATGAATTTTCACGTTTTGGTTATATCTATTTATTGCATGAAAAATCTCAGTCAGTGGATGCCCTTGAGGTGTACATTATTGAGGTTGAAAGGCAACTAGATAGAAAGGTGAAAGTCATCAGATCGGATAGAGGTGGTGAATATTATGGAAGATATGATAGTTTAGGACAATGTCCTGGTCCGTTTGCTAAACTCCTTGAAAAGCATGGCATTTGTGCATAATACATTATGCCTGGTATGCCATAGCAGAATGATGTAGTTGAAAGGCGTAACCGTACTTTAATGGATATGGTTAGGAGCATGTTAAGTAATTCATCATTACCCTTATCTTTGTGGATGGAAGCTCTTAAGACATATGTCTATTTATTAAACTGAGTTCCTAGTAAGGCAGTTCCAAAGACTCCTTTTGAACTGTGGACAGGAAGGAAACCGAGTTTAAGACACCTGCATGTTTGGGGTTGTCCAACAGAGGCTAGGATTTATAATCCACATGAAAAAAAATTGGATTTTAGAACAATTAGCTGTTACTATATTGGTTATCCAGAAAAATTCAAAGGGTATAGGTTTTACTGTCCTACCCATAGTACAAGAGTTGTTGAAATCAGTAATGCCAGATTCATTGAGAATGGTGAAACCAGTGGGAGTGACAAATCACGAAATGTGATTATTGAAGAATTTAGGGAAAAAAATATCATCACCCATAACTTATAATGATATTGTTGTTCTTACAATTGTTGTACAATATGACAACGTTGAACAACAATTAAATGACCAACCACTCCATAATGAGGTTGTCACCATTGAACCGATAGTAGAAGAATCACAAGGGGTAGCATAAAGATGGTCTCAAAGAGAAAGAAGACTAGCTATTCCAAATGATTATGTGATATATCTACAAGAATCTGACTTTGATATAGGGGCAAATAAAGATCCGGTTTCATTTTCACAAGCCATGGAAAGTGATGATTCTGCTAAATGGATTGATACTATGAATGATGAATTGAAATCAATGGAACAGAATGAAGTCTGGGATCTAGTAGAATTGCCTGAAGGATTTAAGAAAGTGGGGTGTAAATGGGTCTTTAAGACCAAACGCGACTCCAATGGCAATATCGAACGACATAAAGCTAGACTTGTGGCCAAAGGTTTCACTCAGAAAGGAGGCATTGATTATAAAGAGACCTTTTCTCCTGTATCCAAGAAGGACTCACTTAGAATTATTATGGCATTGGTGGCCCATTATGATTTGGAGATACACCAAACGGATGTGAAATTTGTTTTTCTAAATAGAAGTTTAGAGGAAGAAGGCTATATAGATCAACCTGAAGGATTCTCCACTAAGGGAAAAGAGCACATGGTTTGCAAACTTAAGAAGTCAATATATGGACTCAAACAAGCTTCTTGGCAATGGTACCTTAAGTTCAATGATACCATTACTTCCTTTGGTTTTACGGAAAACACCGTTGATTGGTGTACATATCTGAAGGTCAGTGGGAGCAAATTTATATTTTTGATTCTATATGTTGATGATATATTGCTTGCTAGTAGTGATCTTGGATTATTGCATGACACCAAGAAATTTCTCTCTAAGAATTTTGAAATGAAAGATATGGGT